TTTGCTGGCTGGGGATGTGGCTCAGTGGTTAAGTACTCCATCCCCATACTAAAAATATAAAATAAAATAAAAATCTTACAATTAAGCTTAGTCTAACTCAGTAACTTGGTCAATCTTACTATGAAGAATGAGTATTTTATCTATATGAATTATAAATATTTAGGGTTATGAGTAGGATTTAATGAAATAGGATGCATAATTGTATTTAGTGTTTATCACGTCAACAAGAGGTTACCATGAATTCAGTTAATTCTTCTTTGTTCCCTCCACTCTTAAACTGAAATAGCCTTTTGCTCTGTTTTGTCCCCACTGCCACTGTCTAGAAAGGCATGGATGACATAAACATTTTTCATATACTTTCAAAATCTACAACTTATATTTGCTTTTCAACACTCTTAACCACCATGTAACCCTGCTCCAACAGATTGCAGCACCTGACCTCCCAGGTTCTATCCACACCACAAATTAGCTGCTTCACCTAAATGTGAGACCATTAATGTACTTCAAGAATCACATCCCAAGAAATATTAAATAAAATAATCTTCAGAATTTAAAAGTGAACTAAGAAATCCATTTACAATGCTAGTGTCTCATGAACTAAGTAAGGCCTGTGACTTGTCCCCTTTTGTACTACAAGAAATGGACATTTTAAGGAGGTTATAAAAATAAACTAAGACAACAGAAATAATTACAAGAAAACATGTAATAGTATTTTATTTTAATCAAAATTACACTTGAAGAAGTTGATCTAACCAACTTCTAGGTAAACACCTCTCCGGTATAATTCAACTTCATCTTGATCAGTATCAAAGACGTTGATTACTGATGAAGGACTTTGGACATTTTCAGCCTTAATTATAATCTTTAATTTAAAATTATTAGTATTTGTTACTCACATATGCCCACCAAGTTCTGGAAGTAATGGATAATCAATTCTACTTAAAATTACTGAGAGATTCTGGAACATTAGCAAAATTATTCTAACAGTCATATACAAACTTTTCCTTGTCAAATAAATAACAAAGTAAAATGGAAGCGTAAATACATTTTCCAATATAAATAAATATAAATGTTAGCTTAAGCTAGTTGTCACAGTGGACATGAACTGTTTATCTCCGTTACTATCCTAATCAATGAATTTAAGAAGACAATAATACTTACATTGACTCCTGCCTAATTTCAAATTACTGAACAAAGTACACATATTTTAAAAAACATAAAGGTTTATTAACCTGATATGCATATTAGTAATCTGTATTCATCCATCTCATTTAGATCAACTTCAGAACGTAAACATATTAATAACACAACTGCAGGTCAATTGGAAGATGATGTAATAGAAAAAAGCTAATGACAAAAGATGTATAAGAGAAAACTTAGTAACCAATATGCAAACCAATAAAAAACAACAATTAATAGAAATTAATCATTTAGAAAATGATTATTTTCCCTATATATTTAAATTATTGAAGGGATACATCAAGCAAAAATACATTTGGAGCTGACGTTGTTCATGTTAGTTCTTTTATATAAATCAAATTATGATCTAATGCTTATTCTTTCATTCATTTAAAGTATTTTTTAATCTATAGTTTAAATTCAATAAGAATGTACCATAAAAATATGCAAGGCAGGTAATCTAGAAACAGAAATAGATTAAAAGATGAAAAGTGACAACAACGTTTACCATTTGCTTCCTCTTGTATTTTAGGTTGATGATTTATTTGCATTTCTGCAAAAATAAAAGTGAAGTGCAGTTAATAATAGATCTGTCTGATGACATTATAAGTGGGGGAAAAAATAGGAAGTGTGAGTTTAACTCTTTAAACAGTGGCAAATCCTTAAGTTGATTTTTAACAAAGAGTAAGGCATATAACATTGTTAAGACATATTTTTACATGTATTTTCACTGCAAGGAATACTCTATAAATCTTACACAAAAAGTAAACTACAGAAGGGGATATGCTGGGGGCATCTGGCAAATCATCTTCCATGATGTCCAGATGTACAAAGTCATCTTGTACTTTCTTCTACTGTTGGTGTCATTAATCCTCACCTTGACGATAAAGTTCAATTTCTGAATGAATTATGCCCTGAGACATGAAGGGAAGCCATCTGAAGAAAAAGGGGGGAAAAAGAGAAGAAAACAGAAAGTAAGTTTCATCTTGTTGATTTTCACAATAAGCTTGATTTTGCATTAATTGTTCAGGTGGAAGGTAGCTACAACAATAGCTTTTTAATCCAATGTTTTTACGTACTCATCATTGTGCCAAGAATGGCATCATGAATGTGGCTTGAAGCATAAAATATAACCTATCCAGGTTTACCATCCACAATCACCAGCATGTAAACCATTGGGGCTGCAGCACAACATGCAGAGGACCAAGTCAGAACAGGACCAGGATGGGTTTAAGATCTTGAGCCTGGTCCCTGGGCCAGCCTAGAAAGTATAGACTGACCATTGATTTGAGGGCAACTTGTCATAGAAAAAATAAATTTCAACGTTTTAGTCTTTCCTCTATGGAAGTCTTTATCTTGATTTCACGTGACTTCCTCTAAAATTTCTTCCTCGGTGTCTGCAAAAATAATCATATTACCTTAAGACCTGGTGAAAATATCACCACCTCAGAAAAGGTACTTAGGGTAATAGCTCATACTGGTAACTTCCACCTAGGTCAGCCAAACTTCTGTGTTAGAAGTGCTCTGTTGCAGAAATAATCAAGACTGGACTCAGAAACCAGCTTTCTAATCTTTCCCTTGTTATTTTTTTCCAGGTGCTGGGAATTGAACCCAGCCAGGGTCTTGTGCATGGTAGGTAAGCACTCTACCACTGAGCTACATCCCCAACCCCTTTTACTTTCTAATTTTACTTTGAGGCAGGGTCTCCATAAATTTCTCAGGATGGCCTTGAAATTATGATCCTCTCACCTCAGCCTCCCAAGTAGCTTAGGATCACAGGCATGTGCCACTGTGCCCCTCTGTGATAGTAACTTCCTAAAGCTTATTTTGGTTGACTAAATTACTTGTCTCATAAAAATATAGTGAAGCATAAATTAAAAGTCATGCACAAGTGTTCTGAATGCTATTAAATAGTGCATAAACATCATTATCATATCAAAAAACCCTGTTATTGCTATCCTATATTCAAACATACTTCCATTCTTTCCATCATTCATCTATCTGCCCATTTGATAAATTCCTACAAAGTACCTTCTGTGTGCCAGACACTTTGCTATGGGCTGGGCTACAAGAACAACAGCAGAGGTAAGGAATCTGGGGGAGCTTCCAAGATCAAGGAAGGGAACTGACATGTAAAGATAAAAATGCAATGAACTGCAGTGAGTGTTGTTAGGGTTTGGATGTGAGATGATGGAGGAAGGTTCAGAGGAGAAATGATTCAGTTGTAAGAGTCTTAACCCAATCAGTGAATTAATCCCCTGATAGGGATTAGCCGAACTGAAGTGGTAGGGTGTGGCTGGAGGAGCTGGGAATTGGGGAAGTGGTAGGGTGTGGCTGGAGGAGCTGGGAATTGGGGTGTAGCTTTGAGGAATACATTTGTATCTAACAAGTGGAGACTCACTCTCTCTCTCTCTCTCTCTCTCTCTCTCTCTCTCTCTCTCTCTCTCTCTCTCTCTCTCTCTCTCTCTCTCTCTCCTTCCTGATCAAAACGTGAGCTGCTTCCCTCTGCCACACTCTTCTGCCATGATGTTCTGCCTCACCTGGAGCCCCAAGAAATGGAGTCAGCCTTCTGTGAACTAAGACCTCTGAAACTGTGAGCCCTCAAATAAACGTTTTCTTCCTCTACAATTGGGCTGGTGAGGTCATTTAGTCACAGTGGTGAAAAGGCTGACTAAAACAGTGGTAGAAGAAATAACAGCAGAGTAGGCGCACAAAAGGAGACTAGCCAGTTCTGAATGGCAGGAATGGGAAAGTGCAGAGGAATGAGGAACAAAAATAGTTCAACAAAGAGGTGGTACTTGAGCTGAAGGTGGCAATTAGAGTCCAGAAAGAGCACAACTGAGGGAGAGCAGTGTTGGCAGAGGTACAGGGATAGCATGGGATCCCATGCAGCTGAAGCACAGGAAGCTACTGGACAAGCTAGGACATGGGGTGAGTGTGCAGAGGGGTAGGGTGGCAGTGTGTGGCTTACTTATGGGGAGATATCTGAGAATGCCGAGGAACTAAGAGGCAGAGCTGTGGGGGCCACTCTACCACACTGGCCTTGAAATCCCAGATGATGGTCAGATATGCGGGAGAAGGTCCAGTGGGAGCTCATGCAGTCCTACCCAGTCATCAAGATCACTCAACTCTGCAGTTTTCAAAGGCTACAAGAGATCTCATTTTCTCCTGACCACCGCAGATCATTGTGTGCCTTCTCTTCCTTCTCTGGGATCTAATGACACACACAACTTATTTTATACATGGAGTTAGCCCTTAATTCTGCAATCTTGTTTACTAATTGGTTTTGATCAATGCATCCCATTTTTCCAGGTAAAATGTCTCTCTAAAGAGTTTATGAATCAGAATAAAGGGAGTTGGCTTTATGCTTAAGAATGCAGGCTCCAGATTTAACGTGAAGTCAGACCTATCTAACTTCAAAACCTATTAGTTGTACAATCTTAACCCATGTTCTTGATCTCTCTAAGCCTCAGTTTCTTAATTTATAACTTATAGATAATAATACCTACACAATAGGAATACAGAACTAAATATATATAAATTTATTATGGTTTCTGATATGTAACAAATGTTCAGTTACTACTATTTCCTCATTGCAAAACATGGTACTTGGACATAATTGGCATTATAGCAAATATATTTGAAGTAACTTTCAGTCAACCAACAATGATTCCTCGTTTTTCAGATGTGTTGTAGAGACACAGGCCTTAGGTAGTAATGTTTGGCCACTGGACCGGCCCCTTCTCCTAGTTGGCTGGAGCAGGAAGGGACACCTCACCCAGGCTTAGTCAATCAGATATTTTCCCTTAATATTGTGAACTAAAAGGTAGAGAAACAACATGGAATCTCCACAGTGTTGTTAAGGAAAAGTGTCACTGTGCAACCCAAAGTCTGTCACAGAGATACGGGTGAGAAGAACCTTCCAGAAGAAACTGGTCTAAAGAAAGAAGGATGAAGATTTTTGATGAAGAGACAGCTGGACAATCTAGAGGGTGAGTGATTCTTTGATGCCTTCCTGGTCTGTCATGTCCAGTTTTATCTTTTTTCCAGCCTTATTTCCTACTTCCATAAAAGTCACCTTTAAATCTCTCCTTCCTAAAATGGGCTGTAGTGAATTTATCATCTTACAATCAAAGCAGAGTTTATGAACTAATTGAAATTTTCCAAAAAAAAAAAAAAATCATACAATCTTGACCTGTCTTGGATGTAGTTCCTTCCTGAAAAGTCTATTCTATAATTTTTCTTTTTTCAGAATATACTAGACAAAGCACTGTTGTGACACAGAAATCCCTGGAGATAGTAGAATACTGGGTGCCTATTAAAAATGATTCTCTCTAGATTACTCTAGCCTGATATTTCTTAAAATCTTGAAGTCATCAAACTATTTTTCTTAATTTCCTTTGATTTCTATTTTAAAAATAGTTTAATGTTGCCATTATATCTTTACTACTGAACCATTTTATTTTTTTAATATTTGTTTTTTAGTTTTAGGTGGACACAATATCTTTATTTTACATACATGTGGTGCTGAGGATCGAACCCAGTACTTCGTGCATGCTGGGCAAGCACTCTACCGCTGAGCCACATCCCCAGCCCACTGCTGATCCATTTTATTTATTTTTTTTTTTTTTTTTTTTTTTTTTTTTTATTGATTGTTCAAAACATTACAGAGCTCAAGACATATCATCTTTCATACATTCGACTCAATTGAGATTTGAACTCCCCAAATACATAGTAGGGGATAGGAAAGGTAGCAGAATACAACAGTCACTAATATGCCATTATGTAAAAACGTGAGTATGTAACAGAAGTGAGTCTGCTGATCCATTTTAAATGAAGAGAACAGAATGGGTTTTAGTTGCTCTAAGGAAGAGTATTCACAGCATATGCCTATGTTCTTCCATATACATATTTTCACATACCTGCCAGGCATGTGTCCAAGCCCATCCTTTCAAAATTTAATTTCTACACCTAATGTTCTGAAAGAAACCAGAAAAAAAAAGCAATAGGAAACTAGCCAAGGTTAGCAGTTAAAAACTAAGGACTGTGTCTCTGCATTTGGAAAAGAATATTCCTCCAAGACCCCAGCAGATGGGAGCATTAGAGCAGTGTGGCTTCAGAGGAATAACAGTGATATGAAAAGAAGAGGGGAAAAGCAAGGAGAAGCTAGCTTGTCCAAGAACAACATATATATTATGCAGCCATCAGCAAAAGAATGCCTCAAATCCCCAGATCACCAGGGGGTTCCCTGTCAACGTCCTACCCAGAAAGCACAAAAAAACTTTCTAAGTCTTTTGAGATTCACAGTAGACAAGCCAAAGAATGTGCTTGAGTGGTCCTGCCCTAACCCATATGGGAAGGGGCTTGGAAAGGCAAGGGCTGATACAGGTTAGACATCAGAATTGTCTGAGATACATTCTAGATAGGGCAACCACTCACCCACATTGAAAATGGTGGAAGAAATTTTGCTTGAAAGTTCTACGTCTCCACCCCCATCCTGAAAAAAACCGAGCAAGACTCATCCCTGCGCCTCATTCTGTCAGTTTCCCACCATCACTCCTTGTCATTTTCGCACCAAGGAATGGCTCAAACTGACAAAGAAGAGCACAGAAATCTGCAGCAGCACAAATACATGCTCAGAATAGCAAGAAATGATTAATAGTGGCCTCTTTCAGGAAAAAAAAAATCAGTAAAGTTAAATGATTGCTCACTGTCTCATGATAATTTTTATTCTGTTCTCCCTATAGAAATAGTATTTCAGATTTTCCTGTACTTGATCGAAATTTCTACATCCCCTTTTATCTGTATTATTCATCATTTCCCCCTATTTCCCAGAAAAGGAAAATGTAACCTTTTGTACATAGGTTAATTATTTTTAATGAGGCATCTGAAGAGGTTATAGAGGGAACTCATGTAAAGACTAGGTGACCTCTAAC